TAATAATAATAATAATAATAATAATAATAATAATAATAATAATAATATCTCCATAGACAACTCTTCATATCCCTCATTCTTTCTTGTCTACTTTCAAGCTACTTTTCTTATGCTCAGTCAATTTTTTCTTCTCCTTCACCTGTTCCCTTGGGCTTTTTCGCTCACTGTCTCACTCTATTGCTCTTGATTATCTCTTGCTCTATCACTTATTTGCTCCATTGCTTGTTCCTTCATTTATGCAGTCTGTCACCTGCTCTGCTATTTGTTTCATTGCTCACTCCACTGCTCACAATCTCACTCATCCTCTTGGTTACACAACAATTCATCCTCTCCTCTCATACAGCCTTATCTTGCTTTCTCTCATTTTTAAAAAAGCTGCAGTGGGGGCTTCTAACAGTTGCTAAGGAGTGGACTTTCCTATTTCTACCAGTGCTGCTCCAATGTCCAAGCTGCTGATCAGAGTTCATCTAACCTATGTAAATTTTGCCTCCTGAGGTGACATCTGCCTCAATATTGGCCTTCAAGCCTGGCTCTGCTGTTGGCCTGAAGCCCCAATGGGGGCACACTATGCTGGAGGTGACGGGTTGACTGAAAAAATAGTACACCCATTCTATACTGTTTGTGCTCTTGGTTTTAACCTTTTATTTAACTGTTGTTAATCTTACTTTTAATGCTTTTAATATTTGTATATCTATGTTTTTACACTGTTGTAAGCAGCCCAGGGTCACTTGGAATAGCCAGATAGGTGGCGCATTAATTAATTATAATAAATTCAGAACTCTTATAATGCCTGACTAGTGTTTCTTGTAAGCTCAGCCAAGTGGACATGGAGGGAAATGGTAAAAGAGTCCTCACCTCCTGTCTCCCAGCTCACAGATTGCAAACTGTAGTAATGGGGCTAACATGGAGAGTCAGTGACCTGGATTTGTTCTTCATAAGGGACGCACTGCAAATCCAATGGATTATGCTGTGTCAAGATTTTGAATCAGCCCTGCAGATACTATGGATACATTCCCTCCCATTGTAAGCAATGAGATAAGATTCTTTACATAGAAAAGGTGGCAAAAACATTTCATTTCTGAGTTCTGTCTTGCCAATAGAATATCAACAGGTGCTATATTCCTTGAAACATCTGATATTAACTTGCTCTTGGGGTGACAGTAAGGTGATCTTGTTTCTATATTATAATATGAATACGTACAAGATATATGTAGCAACACACCCTCTTATTTCCGTTTCTTGGGTAGTCTATTTCAGTTGAAGAAGGCTTGAGCAAGAGAGCTGACTCTACAGATCTTAGTGACGAAGACTCAGGAAAGAGACTAAGCTCAAGCATGGAAGGCAGAAGAAGAGATCTTGGCAGCAACAGCTGTGAAAGTTGTGAAAGCAACAGCTCCCCCAAGGAGGTTTCCCGCAGTAGCCTTGAGAGCTTTTCAGAAGATGATCATGAATGGAGCACTCAGGACAATGAAGAGGGAGGTTATTTTGGACATCAGATGGTCTATAGGAAAAGGGCAGACAAGGATTCCCACTATCACCGAAAGGAAATAAATAAGGAGAGTTCGGATGATGAATCTGCTGGCAGAATGTCATTGGTAGGTCTTCAAAACTTTCTTGTATAAGCATTGGAGTGCAATGGATGAGTTTATTTTGACATTAGAATTTTTTTTTCTAGGAAGCTAGGAATAGTCAACATTTAGTAATACAAAATCAGCAGGTTCTGACCAGTTCTGGAGAACCAATAGTGGAAATTTTGAGTAGTTCAGAGAACCAGCAAATACCACCTTTGACTGGAGATTTTACAGTATCCTTCCCCTGCCACACCCACCAAGCCACACCCACAGAACCGCTAGTAAATTTTTTTGAATCCCACCGCTGTACAAAATGTAATACAAAATGGGATGGAGACCAAAGGTCCATGGAAGACTATAAAAAGGCCTGATGAATGATTGCAGAGATTCTTTTTAACTGCATAAAACCCATTTTAAGGGCCAGAGTTTAGTTTGGATGTGTTTCTTATCTTTAAATGATAGAAAATTAAAATGCCAATTTTTGGACATTATAATTTGTGAAAGATTTAGAGTTGTAACATCGATTTCAAGGATACCATGGATTACAGAAGTGGAAGCAACTGCCAGCTATTCAGAAACAAAAATACCAGTTTAAATATAAATTATTAAATATACATTGTTATTATTATAAATCATAAATTAAAATTTGTGACTATTGCTTTAGGAGAGCCCTTCAGTAATGTAGGAAATAATGTTATATACTTAAAAAAAGGTAGCTATGAGATGCACTTTTATGAATGAAGCTGGATAGAAGCCAGAGCTACTATTATTCTATGAAGCCTATAAAATCTTACAATGATTCCATGTTGTCCCCCCCCCCCCCCATTTGTCTTCTGGCACAGGAGGACCAAAGTGAAGGTCACCTTTTTGGGGCTAACAAAATATCCAAAGAACAGTTTGATGTTGAGAATGATGGCATGGTTTATACCCCAGAACAAGTCCTTTATCCTTTTGTGGAGAAAGGGGGAAGTGACCTAACAGCTGAAGAAGATACCAGTGGTGATGACTCTTTAGATGGAAATAATGATGAAGACTCTGGGCACACTAAATCTCCAAGTGAAGTAGATGTTCCACAATCTCCAGAAACTCATGGAGATCAGGATGGTGGTCATACCAGAGGCCGACATTCTAATGATAGTAGCAGCAGTAGCAGTAGCAGTAGCAGCAGTGAAAGCAGGAACCTTGAGAAAGAGGACAACCACATTATTGATTATCCCAGAAGGCACGGAGGTGATAGTTACAGTAGCAGCCAAGAGGATGGATATGATTTTCAAAGTGAAGAAATGCAAGGAGATGAGCCAAGGACTTTTGAGAGCCACGGCAGTGATTCCCACATGCTTCCTGAGGCTATTCATTCAAAAGAAAGCAGCCAAGAAATCCATAGCAGTAGCAAAGCAGTAGAACATTTTGAAAGAAAAGCATATCATTACATTGATGGTGATTCAGATGAAGATAACAGCCCCGAATATGAACAGAACAAATCCTTGAAAGATGATGATGATGATAACAGTTCTGAGGTAGACAGCCAACTTGTGGAAGATATTAGTCAATCAACAGAAAATGTTCCCAGTCAATCCAGGGAAGATGAAACCAGTCATTCTGGGAAGTCCTTAGAGAGCTCATCCATGGGACAATCTAAAGAGAACCTCAATAGCCATTCTAGAGAAGATATGCATAGCCAATCCCAAGAAGATGATAAGCACAGCCAGTCCAGGGAGTATGATAAACACAGCCAGTCCAGGGAGCATGATAAGCACAGCCAGTCCAGGGAAGATGATAAGCACAGCCAGTCTAGGGAGCATGATAAGCACAGCCAGTCCATGGAAGATGATAAGAATAGCCAGTCCACAGAAGATGATAAGCACAGTCGGTCCAGAGAAGATGCAACCAGAGGGCATATTCAAAGCCAGTCTAAAGAGAACACAAGCAGCTATTCCAGAGAAGACAAACATAGCCAATCACGGGAAGATGATGTTCATAGTCAATCCACAGAACTCTCTAGACCATCAAGAGAGAATGAAGACACAGTATCTGAAGAAGATGCAAAGAGTGACTCCACTGAAGACACCAGAAGCTCCCAAGAAAAACTTGAGCAAAAGTCTAAAGAGACAGAAGAGGAATCCAACGAGCACAATCCTAGCAAATCTCAGGAGAATCACTCTGTTGAAAAATCAGGAAACATGCCACCCAGAGCCGCTGAATCCGGAGAATTCAAGTGGCATCACAGCAGATCAAGTGAGAAGAGCTCTTCTATGGAAGAGAGCGAAGAGTCAGCTGAAGACACAAAAGAATCTGTTGAGGATGACAGCGGATTGTCTCAAAGCACATCATCAGAGAGCAGCAAAGTATCTGAAGAAAGTGCCAGCAGTGATGACAGTAATTCAAATGAAGGGCAAGATGAGCAAAGCAGATCATCAGAAACCAGTGAATCCAAAGAGGAAGCCAGCAATTCTATTGAAAGATCCAGTCAATCCAGAGAGGATACTATGAGCCAGTCTGACAGCATGGAAGATAACAGTTGGTCAAGAAGCAAGGAGCTGGAAAGCCGAAAACTAATGCTTGACTTTTACCATAACAAACCCTTTAGTGATTATGATGATAATGATTGCCAGGATGGGTATTAATTTAATGCACGAAAAACAAAGAAATCCAATTTTGTATAGTAGTCGGAGGTCAGGATTCTTTCTTTTAATTTATTTAATTGTTTTAGCAATGTGAGAGTTGACAGGTAAAGATGATAATTCTAGAAGAACCAGAGGCTCCAATGAAGCACAGATGCACCTCAGAAACGTCAAAGAAGATGGAATCAGTTTCTGCAACATTTGACAGGCTTTCATTGCTGTGGAATTAAGTTCAAAGAGTAATATGAGTTAAAACTGGGTGATAATTTCCCAGAATAAACAGCTGTGGAATTTTGCAGAAACTGAAAGAATTTGGACAACAGTGGCAACTGCCAGTAGGTTTCCTTCACAAACTCTTTCGGGTGTCACTTAATACTTTTTCAGGGGCTGATATTCATTTCTTTCATATAGGCCTACTAAAAAAAGGATTCAGTTTACACACATGCATATATGCACATATGTGTTCATAACAGTCCAAAATACGTGGTTGACTGCTGTTTTAAATTGTGCCTATGGTCAATTTAATAGGAGGTTTTCTCCTTAGGTACACAGGATTTCCCACCATTTTTTTTAATGCATGGATGGCCCTGCCTTCTAATTTGCACTACTGAAATCTGGTGCCATAATCCAGATCCTCCCAAGCTAGGAAACATCCAACAGCAAATATTTTTAAAAGTGCAGATTTCAGTCCCAATTCTTTGTCATGATGTCAACAGATTATCAGCACACTTCCTATGGGTTTGGAGGAAGAAGAGGAATAACCCCTGGGTTATAAAGTTGTCTTAACACTAGCTTCTTAGGGCAATTTGTCCTTCTCCACAAGGTCCACCCAGCAGAATGTAAGTTAATATCTTAGAATTTTTTGGTTCTTGCCATCTAACCATGGAATGTCTATTATAAATATTTCTATTGAAATATTAGATAATATATAGATAGAAAAAAAAAATCTATTGCAAGATGGGTTGGCTAGCTGGTTGTTCAGACATGTTTCATTTGTGCTTAAGGGCAGGCTTTCCCTTGAAGCAAAGCCATCTTCATAAGGAATCCTTGTCTCTTTTAACTGAATGCTTAATGACAGTAGAAAAACATAGGTACAACATTTGTGCATTAAGATTAGACTCAATGGTTTGTGACTAAGTGGCACTTAAAGAAATTTAGTTACTACAGGGTTTGCACAGAAGGAGGCAAAGAGAATATGTTAAATTCCAATGCACTTCAGCTGGTCTGCAGCCTTAGAAATATCGTTAATAATATGGGACGTATTTTGTAATAAATGTATAGCTGCTGTATTGGAAAATATTATACTGTAATCCCTTCTTTTTATACAAGTGGACTTAAATTAAAAATAAAGCAATCCTCTTCTTAGCAATAAAAGTTTTTTTAAAAAACCAAGTAATGGATTAGCCTGATTTAACATTTATGCTATGAGATGTTTTAATATATTGTATTAAATATATTCCGGTGTGTCACAATAATAGCAGAACACATAGGCATTTCAGAAATAGAAATGCTTTGTCCTCATACACTATTTTTTAAGCAAAAACATTTGAAAAAAAGTAAGGATAATTTTTTTAAGAGTAAGAGCAATTAATGGAATAGCTAGCCTCCTAGGGTTGTGGGTCCATCACTGGAGGTTTTCCAAAATAGACTGGACAACTATTTGACTGAGATGGTATAAGACTCCTGGCTCCTGTCTTGGACTAGAAGACCTCCAAATTCCCTTCCAGGTTCTATGAAAATTCAAGAGAAACAGGTTTTCAAAAATTATGCACCCATAATTAGGTCTATAACCAGATCTAATTCTCTCAGAAAACATTTTAGAATTTATTGGAACAAGCCACTTAAAATGTCCCAAAGGTACTTTTCAAAAGGCAATTAGACTTTCTTGTTTTTCTTCCTTTGAAAATGTTTTGCTTCTCATCCAAGAAGCTTCTTCAATTCTGAACTGAAGAGGCTTCTTGGATGAGAAGCTAAAAGTCTTCAAGGAAAAACAAAGAAAGTCCAGCTGCCTTTTGAAAAATACCTTTGGGACAACTATGACCTGGATGATTGAGAATCTCCATAGACATCAAGCAGCAGAGGTTTTATGATAGCACAGCAGAGGTAGTATTCAGCAAGTTCTGACCAGTTCTGGAGAACCAGTAGCGGAAATTTTGAGTAGTTGAGAGAACCAGCAAATACCAGTATCCTTCCCCTGACACACCCACCAAGCCACGCCCACAGAACCGCCAGTAAAAAATTTGAATCCCACCACTGTTGCACAGCTTTTGCTTTTTCAACTTGGCACCTTTTTGATATGTTGGGAGAGCAGTGTCCAGAATTCCCAGCAAATCATTAGCTCTGCTAGCTGGGAATTTTAGAACAGTATTGGAGAAGGCCAGGTTGGGGAAAAACTGATGTATTGCAATATCTGGATATCTGCTGAAACAAAAAGACAACAGATAACAGATAATCAGAGTTGGAAGGGACCTTGGAGGTCATCTAGTCCAACCCCCTGCCCAAGTGGGAGACCCTACACCATTTCTGACAAATGGAAGTCCAATCTCTTCTTGAAGGTCTCAACTGATGGCACTCCCACAACTTCCGAGGGCAACTTCTGTTCCATTGGTTGATTGTTCTCACTGTCAGAAAGTGTCTCCTTGTTTCCAGGTTAAATCTCTCCTTGTTCAGTTTTCATCCATTATTCCTTGTCTGGCCTTCAGGCACTTTAGAAAATAGCTTGACCCCTTCCTCTTTGTGGCAGCCCCACAAATACTGGAAGACCGCTATCATGTCTCCCCTGGTCCTTCTCTTCCCTAGACCAGCCATGCCTAGTTCCTGTAACCGTTCTTCATATGCCTTAGTCTCCAATTCCCTAATCATCCCTGTTGCTCTTCTCTGTACTTTTTCTAGAGTCTCAACATCTTAGCCCTTCCTCTCCACTTACTGAAAATAGTCTGGCATATTTCTGAGTTCGTATAAATTAAATGCCACCATCTCCTTCTTCCACACCATGCAACATGACAACATCCCTTGGCCAAAAGAGATTCTTATCTAGGAAACATGAATTTGCAAATAGAGGCCCAATAATGTTTCTTTATTTGGGCGTAGCATGTTACATTAACAGATCAACTGTATTTAGTTAATATTAGTTTAAGTTTTAGTATGTCATATGAACTCAATCATTGTTTAGTTTTACAAAATATTCGTCATATAAGTAAGATTTCTGTCACAGTGCTGGAGTCCCCTCAAGTGTTCCTTTACAGATTCGACCAAGCAAGGCATGAAGTCACCATTGTGAGAGGACAGCAACACTGTCACAAGCCTATAATTTATCTTTAACCAGAAAAGTTGTTGTAAAAATTCATTGCAACTCTGCAAACAGCCAGAAAGTGGCACTGCTGTGTAAATCAAGCATTGTAACTATCCAACTGTTTTTGGCTGGACTAAAATATTTTGCTGGGCAAATATTCCATAGAAGTTTACAATGTAAAATGACAAACGGAGTTGGAAGAGACCTTGGTGATCTATTCAACCCTCTACTCGAGCAGGAGACCCTATACCATTCTTGACAAATGGCTATCCAATCTCTTATTGAAAACCCTTATCTCTCAGGAAATGTCTTCTTTGTTCTAGGTTGGAGCTCTCCTTAATTAAGTTTCCATCCAGCCATACAACATGTTGTGTCTCTACATGAAATAATAAAAAATGGGAAATGTAGAATTGAGCCCAATTAGAAATGTGCCTGCAGCAATAAATAATGATTTGCATAATTAGTTTCTTCATAAGAAACACATACTGTTTTCTCAAGACCACTTTCTATTGCCAGCACCGCCAATTGAGACAGATCTATGCTAGTTCCAATGCAAACTTTTATAATATTTCCAGTTCTACATTCCACATCCAAATAGTCTGTTCTCTATTTGCAAGGAGTTCATGTATCTCACAAAGCTTGGAAACACCTCTAATGTTAACATCAAGATGCCTTCAAGTCAGGATTGACTCCTGGCAACTGCCTGGATGGGTCCCTGTGGTGGTCAGATTAATGTAGCAGAATTCTTCTACCTTTTTTGGCAAGCACAGAAGATTAAATACTTGGGATGCTGTGGGTTATAATATTAATGACTTCAGGGATTCTTCCTGAATGATTATGGTTAAAATGGCATGCCTGGCTGTTGTGGCAATTTGGTAAGATCAATAAAACTGAAATAAGGGCCTCATTGAATTTTCTGAAAGGAAACCTACCACTTGTTTCATAGGCACTTATTAGTGATTTGCTAAAATAAGGACACTTCCATGTACTCAGACTTTTCCAGAACTCCTTGGTGAACTTGAGTATGCTTTGATTCTTTTTAGAGTTAGCTCAAAACCACACGATATTGCACAATCAATCAGGAGGTTTTCCTGCAATCCAATTCAGTTCACTGTCACTTAACCTAGGAATTTCTTTGTGGCTTGTGCAAAATGTCATCGAAGATTTGTCATTGCAGTAGCAATTCCATAATATATGACATTGAAAGGAGCCCAAAGCAAAATAAAACCCCCAAAGACAAACACATGTATACCATGTATTTTGGTGATATTTTTCCCAAATGTCAGAAGCGCAAACTTTTCTCATTTGGTATAAAAAGTAAAATTGGAACTGGGGAGGAACGAGACAATTTGGTGCCTTTCAGAAGGTTTGGAATTCAGCTCCTATAATTCCTTGCTAACTACCATAGTGTAGGCTGAAACTCAATCCTCAATTTCTGGAGGGTAACTGATTGTCTAACTGTTGTCAACTGTAGCCATTTCATGCTTAAAATGTCTGTGCTATTTAATGACAATATATTACCAACTTCCTAGATTTGTAGTTCAGCTACACTGGTAGGGAATATAAAAACACCTTAATGGGGTTAAACTATTTGTTCATTTAGCTTATACTGACTAAAGGCTGCTCTCCTGCATCTCCAGTAACAAGACAACTTTCTGTCTTGTTATCAAGACAGAAGAATCTGGTATCAGATTCTTCTAAGAATGCTAAA